TATACACAGCTATACAGGGCTATACACAGCTAAACAGGGCTATACACAGCTATAAACAGCTATACACAGCTATGCAGAGATATACATAGCTATACACAGCTATACACAGCTCTACAGGGCTATATACAGCTATACGAGACTATACACAGCTATACAGGGCTATACACAGCTATACAGGGCTATACATAGCTATACAGGGCTATACACAGCTATACGCACACAATACGCAGCTAAATAGAGCTATACACACCTATACAGGACTATAGGGCTATACAGGGCTATACACAGCTACACAGAGCCATACACTGCTTAACAGAGCTATACACAGATATACAGAAATGTGTAAAAATGGATGGAAGAAATTTTGAGTTCCCGTTGCTATTCTTTTGAACGTATGTGATCGAAATCGTTTTTCAATTGCTGTAACGATTCAGTTTGCATAAGATTTATTTGTTCCTGAAGGGCGAAGGATTAGGCACATCAAAAATGAAATTAAGGATCGGTTTGTCATCTAATAAGTATAAAAATGCTGTAAAACGAATTTTCTTAATTTTCTTTTAAATTCTTACTCCGAAATAGGCCGAAGATACCACTTAAGTGCTCAAGCGATCGTAGAAAACCTGCAGAGCTGAACGAAAAATGTTATCCACTACTTAGTAGGATAAGAACATTCAAACTAATGTGATTTACTTGGATTTTGCGAAAGTATTCGACTCAGTCGATCATACCATTCTCTCGACCAAGCTAAGGGCGTATGGGGTCTCGGGACAATTACTTGCATGGTTCGCTGATTATTTAACGAGTCGAGCTCAAAGGGTAGTTTTGGACGGCGCTGCATCGCAATGGGCCCCGATTACTTCCGGCGTCCTGCAAGGGAGCCTGTTAGGGCCATTATTGTTCACGATCTTTATTAACGATCTCCCGGGTGAAACTGTAGGCGGGATGAGGGCAGCGCTATACGCTGATGACACCAAGCTGCATAAAAACGTCCAGCTCCGTCAGCGATTGTCTGTCTCTGCAGACCACTCTAGCAAACGTGAATGACCGGTCAAAGGGAAATAACATCAACTTCAACACCTAGAAATGCACAACGCTTACTGTGACGCGGATGAAAACTCCCTTGATTTACGAATACACCCTAAACAACACACAACTTGTGCGAGTGTCAGTGGAAAAAGATCTAAAAGTTACAATTACGGGTACGTTGTCTGGCACTCTTATATATATACCATCACCAGTTGAGATAACAAGCTCCGTGGGCTCCTAAAGCGGACATGTCCATTACTAACTGACGTGTCTACCCGGTGCGCGCTATACTTATCGCTAGTCAAGTCACAACTCTGCTACGCTACTCAAGTCTGGTCGCCTGCTCAGGTTTCCCTGAAGGCACAAGTCGAGTGAGTGCAGCGGCGCGCTACCAGATGGATCTTACAAACCCGGATTGGTGAGATGTCCTACAGAGATAGACTTATTACCCTGGACTTACTCCCTCTTACCTACGACAGAGAAGTGAAAGACTTGGTATTCTTTTATAAGTGCTTCTTTAATCATATTCACCTTGATGTCTGTAGTTTCACAAACTTTATTTCTCACGGCTGTACTAGGCTGAGCAGCTCCTTTAATTTAAAAACACCAATCTGTGAAACGAGCACTTTCAGGCCTCCTACTTCAATCGCATTGTGAAACTTTAGAATTGCTCTTGTTCTATTGCTCCTTCCTCTAGTTTTTCGACTCCGCTCTCCTTCCAGCTTTTCGTCAAACAAACACTTTTTGACTGCCAGAGAGCGTTCTTTGACATTGACTGGCCCTGCACGTAGACACTAATTAAAACTTGCTTGTGCTACAAGCTAGAGGTGTAGTTAGTACTATGTTACAAACCAAATGAAATTGTTAAAAAAGTTGTCAATTCAAATAGCAGAAATTGAAGCAAATTCAGACTGACTTGTTAAGCCTTCTTGTAGCATGCAACCTGTTCTTTCTTTGTCAAAAATTAATACAATGGTTTTCGATAAGGTTTCGACAAGTTAAAGGTCATTAGTATATACTAAAGTAGTGGATAGCGTTGAAGGTGTGCTCTGATTAGCTACTCAAACTCCGAATATCCTTTGCTATTTACCTCCGAGCAACTCGCGAGTTTCACGCTCTCACACGTGTAGGAATAAATCGATTAAAATTATCTCACTGATTTAGTGTGTACTAAAAACAGCTATTCGCCTCCGTGTTGTGGCTATTAATGAGTATTTGCCAAGCCGTTCGCGGCTCGTTAAATATCTACTTCTAGCCACCTCCACTTCGGTAAATAGTTATTACTTATATCTGAAATAACCTCGATTTACAGAATTTGTTTCAGCACAAATGAAGAAAACATAATTTTCTTCATTAAATGATTTCCGGCTCAATTTCATGAACGTGAGCATTTACAACTTAGTACTAGTACAAGAATTCAACCTAATAAAGGTGCCAAGACATCGGGAGGATCTCGAAAAATTCTCGGTTCAAACCTCGATATATGAGGAGGTATATGGCATTACCAGAATTTACAACTACTTAGTTAACCTAGGGTCATTGAACAGTTATTGGGTACCTTTTGTGGCATCATAGTGGCCTGGCCCGGAATTATCATATGAAATGTAGATGGGTGTGGTGGTAAGGAACTCGTGTTGTAGGAATGGTACCGTAGGTGTAGAAGGGAGAGCGGCAACAATCACAATTGGATTTTCAAGACTTAAGCTGTTGCTCTCGCGCATCAACCACCAACTTCATTTGCGAAAATCCGTCTTGGCTAAATTTGTAAACGTCCTCTAACCTATTAACGCTAGTTGTCATCCAGTCTCTGTACTCTTCAATCCAGTCTCTGTACTTTTCAATGTTATAGCCGAACCCGCTAACGAGTTCAAAGCCACTGCGGTTTTACCTTATGTTAAAGGTTTATCCGAACAGCTTCGCCGCTGCCTACAACAACAAGGCGTACGCGCTGTTTACAAGTCGGAGACTACGCTAAGATCTCAGTTAGTACGACCGGAAGACGCTGTCGACCCGGCTAAACAAGATGGTGTAGTTTACAGGATTCCCTGTGAATGCGGCAAGGTGTACATTGGAGAGACTGGAAGACCTATGCAAGAAAGAATTAAGGAGCAAGATCGAGACATTCGACTCGCCCGTACCGAGACCTCCGCC